GTAGTAGTAGTAGTAGTAGTAGTAGTAGTAGTAGTAGTAGTAGTAGTAGTAGTAGTACTAGTACTAGTACTAGTAGTAGTAGTAGTAGTAGTAGTAGTAGTAGTAGTAGTAGTAGTAGTAGTAGTAGTAGTATCAGTAATAGGAGGCGTAATCATAGTAGTTGTAGGAGTCGCAGTAGTAGTATTAGTCGTGGCAGTAGTAATAATGGAAACAATCGATATAGCAATAGCAGTAGTCGTCGTCGTAGTAGCAGTCGCAAAAAAGTGTAGTAAGGTTGTGCAGGGGGAGTTCGTAGGTCAAATCTTAGAGAAACATGGCATGTCCTCGGCCCACGGCCTCACTGCCGTCAGTATGGACCACCTCCCTGAGACCGAGGACCCGCCATCAGAATCGGACCTCACAAAACTACAACAGCTTGCAGGAGAGTTCAATTGGCTAGCTACGAGAACAAGGCCAGATCTTGCATACTTCGTGAGCCGCATGGCCAGCACACTTTCGAAGTACAATGGGTGGTCGCAACAATTGGCCAAGAAAATACTCAGGTACATACAGGAGACCAAGCACCACGTCCTCATCTTAAGAAAGACCGGCGGCATCCAAGATCTGAAGGCTTGGAGCGATGCTGGATACGGAGGCCCAGGCACCAAGGCCCAGACTGGGATGATCTTGGCTTGGGGCGGTTCTGCTGTTCTTTGGCGGTCCAGCAGGCAGACGGTGTCCAGCTTCAGCACTGCAGAGGCTGAGCTGGGAGCCGCCGCTCTAACCTGGCAAGTGACGGAGGGACTCCGGTTTCTCTTAGAGGAGTGGGGCATCGACATTCTCGTGGATAATGCCGCGGCCATTGCGATCGCTGATCATGGAAGCAACTGGCGCACGAGATGTTTTGGTGTACGTGGAGCGCGGCTCAAAGAAGAGATTGAACGAGAACTGTTACGACTGTCACACGCTCCTACCAAGGAGATGGTAGCTGACGCACTGCTGACGAAACTTGCCACTGCAGACGTGTTGAAGAATCTTCGCTCCGCAATGGCAGGCGATATCACCTCGGCGACGCCAGCGGCGGCCGCAGTACTGAGCAGCGCCGGCGTGGAGCTGATCAAAAATATTCCCCGCCAGGGCCTTCCTTCTAAGAAGCGGGTCCGGCGTGGAAGGAAGACGCGAGTTCACCAATGTGACCGTCAGTGGTACTGAATGCCCAGCGCCGCTCCCTGCGCCGTTGTGCAGGGGGATGTTGTACCACAATATTTGCGTCACCTGAGCTGCACTTTAGGAATTCCAGTGGTTCACGTGAGCGTGTGCACATCGAGTGTTCAGCACGCGCACTGGCAGCCATCCCCGTTTGGTGAGAGCGCCCGAGCGCGAAGCACGCCTCAGCGCCCGAGCGTGATGATTCCTGGAGGCCATTGTAGATGTAGATCTCTGAGGGTTACATTCCCACAATAGGAGATAACTGATTTGAAAGGATGTTATGATATTGTGGGTCCCCCTCATCGGGGCCCAGATCATATCTGTTCCTCTCCTCTTCTCTTCCCTCTCTTCCCTTGCCCCCTGTACCCCCTTG